GTTTGGATTGGCTAGCAAGGGTAAAATACAAAGACAGAACTAAGGCAGAGACTTACAATGCCTCCAGTGATTTCTGTCCCGGCCCTTCCTCTGCACATGGTCAATTAGAATTGAAAATCCTGTGCTGATTTCATTCGCTGGAATTTTTAAGCAGGTCAGGAAGAAAGATGTTATTGAAAGGAAGAGTCTCATCTAAATAAGAAAGGAGTGTGTGGCCATCTGGTCTTAGCTATATGTATAAAAAGTTATTTCAGCTGAACTAAGGATTGGTGTTTTAAAAGATGTGCCGAAAATCAACCCAAAATCTATTTACAGTAAAAAAAAATGTATATATATCCTAAATGTTTCTTTTTAAACCTCCAAAGATTCATTTGGTTCATTTCCTATCTGTGATTCATGAGTCTGTCTGACCCCAGCGCCTCCCTGAGCCTGAGTGGGTTGCAAGCAGAGGGTCAGTCAATCACTTTCCATACTCTCCGCCTTCACGGGCCATCTAACAAAACAGTGGCTCTGTTGTAAGTTATAAAAATAACTGTGATAGTCTTCATTCAAATTAATTTTGAGTTCAGCATGCGTCCAGATTGGAGGAAGAAAATTTGGAGCATAAAGCAGCGGAACCAGTTCCCCTTCTTAGCTACTGCAACCAGAGTTTCCTTCACTCTCTGAACACTGCTTGGGCATCTGTGCACAATAATTTCAGGCCTTTAGCCTACAGGCTAAGCTTTAAAAAAAAACACATCTTTCTCTTCATGAAGAGATTATGACCACAGAGTTTACTTTTAGGAATCAACTGGGTGCTCAGAAACACAGTCTAGCTCTGTAGTAATTTTTGTTCTGTTTTCCAAATTTAGATTGAAGTTTTTGAGTTATGAAAGTAGTGTGTGTGTGTGTGTGTAGTATCCATAACAATCATCTCACCAATCAACTAATTTATTCAATACCTGAGCATGATTCTCACTTAGAAGAATCACAACCAGTGAATCTTTCTACCCAAATTTCATTGTATTAAAAGTACAGTCACACTCTAAAACATTTCGAACGCTCTCATATGATTATAAAAATGGATTGTGACCACAAGTCTATATTCTAATGTATATGTTAAATATAATCCATATATGGTCACAACCCTCAGTTGATGCTGAGGACTGAGGAGCTCAGCCAGCAAAATCTAAAACAAAAAGACTAAGAGTAAGAATATTCTGTGATCACCAAGGCTCTTGATGGATCCCCGATGTGAAAGAGCACGGGTTGTTTTCTGTTTGGGTACATCTATCTCCTGTTTGTTCTGCCATTTCCAATAAACCATTATCATTGTGTAAGGAGAATGAACTATAGGAAATTGTTCTTTCGTAGTTATGTTCTGAAACACCATTTGTTCTTCAATGGGCCTTACGTAGTCCAACAATTTCAATCAACTCCATTATCTTCTTGTCTTTGAAAGATGCCTTTCTAGTAACCTGTATCCCCAGAGGGCAATGTCAGGTCTGGCTTTCAGAATGTAGGGTGGAACCAAAAACAGTTTGTTCATATCTCTCTTGGATAAAGAAATTAAATTATTTCTCATCAGGCCAGAACTTCAGTGTGTGTTGGAAGGGATTGTTTACATAAAAATAGAAAGCCATGACTCAGAAAAGTTATTTACTTTTTTACTGCAGTGCTACACCATAGAAATATCAGTCAACTTATATAGATTTTTTTGTAGTACAAAATGTGTCAATACTTCAACTGTATGCTTTTCTGAACAAAAATCAAATGAGGCAATAATTTTTTATTCTCTTGTTTTAAAATAATCACATGATACATTGGCAGATAAATCTGCTGTTGTGCTGATACATTAGTGCAATTGTTCATAGACACGTGCTTTGAAAATCTTTTCTAAATTAGAAGTACAAAGAGTGAATTTCAAAGCTTACAAAACTGAATATCAAATGCCAGGCATGTCTGAGCTAGCAAATATATCATATTATTAATAAGTTACATATCAAAACTTGATAGCTAAGGCATAGAATGTACATAGATTTTTCTCCATTTCTATCTCAAATTCAGTCATATAGTGTTGTAAAAGTAATTATCTTTCTTCCATTCGATATAAGAAAAATAAAATAATATTATATATATATGTTAATAAAGATCTGAGCACTTGTTTGGTGAGTGAGTCTTTAGAGAAGACCCACAAAGTAGAAATTAAAAATATAGAGTGAACTCCTGCACAAACACTGAATCCAAGTTTCATCTAATGCTGATACATACTCACAAAGGCACAAAATGGGCTTCACTTCAAAATCATTTGTATAAATGATTTGTTCCTTGAGGAATTTTAATAGTAAAAATCAACTAAAATTAATAGTAAGTGACAAATACCAATTCATAATGACTATTACTTTTGTAAGATTTTGAGCCAAATTATTTTAAAACGCTTTTCATTTCATCTATTCATATTGAAATTCAGCCACCTTTGACATGTATAATCAGCATATTAATAAGGCGTCCTAGAACCACAGAACTCTGACTGACTACATATATCATGACAAACACACCCATACTGCCCCGTAAACACATCTGAGAGAGAGAGAGA